TATGTCACGGCTGTGTAGGGTGCAATAAAGTCCTGTCTGCCTAAAATATCCGCGTAATAAAGGTAGTACGTTGACCTTGTCATGAGTACCGAATCTAAAAGAAGGAAGATTGAAATGCGAGAGTTTATTCGCTTAATAGAGTCGTTAAGCACCATCGTGCTGTGCCTTTTGTGTTACATTTTCAGCCAATCAAATTTAACGAAATTTCTTTAACATGATGTGGCTGTCTACGCTGCAACAAAGCACTGATACCCGTCCGTCAAAGGATTTGCTGCGGCCGCTGTTCGAAATGCGTTAAGTGGCCTAGCGTGGGTATAGCGTGAATTACCCTAGAACATAGAGAGTTCTCTGAGCAATATTTTGCAATTTGTGTAATAGACATACTCATGTTTCATTCATGAGTAATATATTTCTTTTACTCTGTTCGCTATCATCACGACTATTTGGCATGATGTATCTGTCCTGACTTTCTGACAAGGTTATGCGCTGCGGTGCGATAATGGACTTCATCAACGTGCAATGGATGGCGTGGAGTTGACATAGCGGATGGAATTTTTAATCAAGTTGATGGCACTAAAGCACCTATAATGATAAATGAGCTGTGTGATGATCGCTATATGCGTCCATTGAGTGACTTTTCCGGACAGTAACAGACCTCAGCCACGCGACTGGTCGATATTACTATGATCTCGGGCTAAAACATTGATTCGCGAGCAAAGTTTAACTTTAAGGTAAAAGAGTTTTGCGCTCGGTCAGAAAAGAGAAAAAAAGAGACACTGCAACAAGCGCATATAAATGAATATAGCGACCCATACCCATGAATGCAAGATATTAAATGTAAACAACGACTTTTCAATCGAATTTATTGCTAAATACATATTACATTTGTAGTATATGTAGTAGTAACGGACGCATAAATAACAACCCTCTGGATGAATTCACAAAACAATTCTATTACAACTGTTTTCATTATGTCATGCGAGATAATTTTCATCTGCCGTCCACCCTATCTACAATTCTATCCGTTATGTCAACTTCACGCTACACAGAGCACGTTGTTGAAGACCACTGGAGCGCAGCACCGTCAGTTTAAGAAAATGTAGACAAAAATATCATGCCAAATTGTGACGATTACACGCAAGAATAACGCTGGCCAATAGAGAAATGAAACATATTAAGAATGAATGAAACATGACATGTACATGTATTACATGCATATCACTTATTTGAACATATTACGGTGAGAACTTACTACGTCAGATAGGGAATGCGGAAACACTGTTTGACGCATCTGCCTCCGCAATCATGGTAAACGAGAAGCGGTCATGAAAAATGATGATTTTGATGACTTACTACGTCTAAGGCATCCACTATACTGTACAAAACAGCCTTCTTACATCGAATTCTTCCACTCAAGTCCACGCTAGGCATTCAAGCGCACTTCTAACAGTTTCTGGAGCACAGTTCCTTGACGGCCAAGGGCGCGACTCAATGCCGTCATATTGCTGCGGGCATAAAATCTAGGAGGAGGTTCTTTAAATTTGATTGACTGAAAGTTACGTGTTACCCATACGCATATCGTGTGATAATTAGGTTTGACAATTCTCATAAGAAAGTGTAAAACAGCGGTATATTCTTTATCTAACCTAACCTGCAATTGTTTAACACTAAACTACAGTAACGCTCAGCATATTGCTACTTACAGCATAAAATTCGTGCTTTTGTACGATGCCTGATGTGATTTCTCCCGAAGATCCGCAGTTCGAATCAAATGATGATCATGTCGCTATTTACGATGCCATTCGTCAGATAGCGCAGCGAATAGCTGATGCGTCAGACCCTCAAAAATTGGCAGTTGGAGGTGTTTTAGGGTGGTGAGTTTTGCGTTTATTTGTGTCGAAATTGTTACGTTTCAAGTGCTGCCGTTCTAGGGCTGCTGGAGCCTTGGTAGTAAAGGTTGGGACGGTAGTGGCTTATAGTCTTCGCTATGGCGTTTTGCTGTTTCAGGTCAGTGTGTGCGTGATGAATCACTTGTCATCTGATTATGGTTGATGTGATATCACGGTTGACTGAGATTTTGCTTTGCGTGTACAGAAACACTTGTTTAAAGAAATTTGAAATTGTGTTTTAGAATATATTTGAAATTTCATAAAATTTCGCTGTTTATATCGTTGATTAGTATGTAGTGCGCTTTATGCGTTTGCTGTCTATGGATCATCGATGGTGGTCTCCAGGTTGTGCGATTTCGGCACAGGAACTGGATATCGAAATGTGGTGGTAAATAAAGGTCTTTAACGTCATCCAGTATGACGTATCTTATTTGTTTTAAATCATGAACAAGGGCAAGAATATGAATATTCGTTATTCAAACATGT